CATATTCCGTGACTAAACAAAAGGGAAAGGCTAACTCTTCGAACCTTAATTGTTCTTGGAAATTAGTAAAGCAACATAAACTACTACGTAGAAAACCGTGTTTATCTCATTGACTCCTTTAGGATGCGGTGCGGTGCATGTAAAACTATACCTACATGATACAAACGGTGGAGCACTGTCGGTAAGCCTACCACAAGGAAGAAGCGAGCACCAGACACGTGACCTAACTAAATGTTTGTGCGCTTAAACGTCGTGCAGCTGGTCACGGTGACGGCGCATTTCTTGCGTTCGTCTTTGTTTTGATTATTCGTTTGTTAAAGTTATTCGCACAATCAAGCGTTTCTTAGGGTACAGACAGCTCTGAGACAAACGCAACTAACGAACAAAGACTCTCCAGAAACCGTCGATTGAGTTAACAGTCTAAGAGGCGATATCATCGCATTCCATGTCGTTGAGGTCACCAACGTTATTCAAGTGGACCAAAGGCGGGAAAACGGTATAACCTGCTTTCAATTCTCCATGTCCTCACTTTCCAAAAAAGTACTTTCCACTTGCTAGCCCCCAATCTTTGCAAATGCCAGCTAACTTAGAATTTTCATCCTACTTCAATCTCACAAACGAACCACAGGCATCCAATTGCTCACCTGTCTGACCACTGAAGTATTGGACCACAGGTTCACCAGAGCTGTTGGAAGCTGTGACCATGTGGAATGTACGTCCCTGTTTCTTCTGGCAGTGGAAGTCGGTCTCAGCTGAGTGAAGAACAAGCGCCTTCAGAGCTCTTTCATGGCACTTTTCTGCAGAACCATGTGTGACTTACCTATTCCATGGTATGATGTCTCGACTGACACCTTAGGAGAGGGGCTTCCAAACTTAACATTTGACACTAAAAGACAACCTCCTAAAATAAAACCAACCTAAGTGATCTGGTGACATTCGTGTAACTAGAATTTTTTACATATGAATAATGGTAACAGGACCGAGTGGAGTCCAATTTGGTCTGTAATCATACGAGTGATTTATAGAATTGTACGACCGCAAAGCAGGAGTCCGATTTTTTTTATCACGAGTATGATAACAGACAGAATTGGACGACAAGAAGGCCTGTTACCAATTAATCAAAACAATGAC